GCTGCCCCTGAACGCACCATCATGGAGGGAAAACCTCCATAGGCTGCCCCTGAACGCACCATCATGGAGGGAAAACCTCCACCGGGACCTGACTCACAGACTGCCCCTGAACGCATCATCATGGAGGGAATACCTCCACAGGCTGCCCCTGAACGCACCGTCATGGAGGGAAAACTTCCACAGGCTGCCCCTGAACGCACCATCATGGAGGGGAAACCTCCACAGGCTGCCCCTGAACGCACCATCATGGAGGGAAAACCTCAACCGGGACCTGACTCACAGACTGCCCCTGAACGCACCATCATGGAGGGAAAACCTCCACAGGCTGTCCCTGAACGCACCATCATGGAGGGAAAACCTCAACCGGGACCTGACTCACAGACTGCCCCTGAACGCACCATCATGGATGGAAAACCTCCACAGGCTGCCCCTGAACACACCGTCATGGAGGGAAAACCTCCACCGGGACATGACTCACAGACTGCCCCTGAACGCACCATCATGGAGGGAAAACCTCCACAGGCTGCCCCTGAACGCACCATCATGGAGGGAAAACCTCCACCGGGACCTGACTCACAGACTGCCCCTGAACGCACCATCATGGAGGGAAAACCTCCACAGGCTTCCCCTGAACGCACCATTATGGAGGGAAAACCTCAACCGGGACCTGACTCACAGACTGCCCCTGAACGCACCATCATGGAGGGAAAACCTCAACCGGGACCTGACTCACAGACTGCCCCTGAACGCACCATCATGGATGGAAAACCTCCACAGGCAGCCCCTGAACGCACCATCATGGATGGAAAACCTCCACAGGCTGCCCCTGAACACACCGTCATGGAGGGAAAACCTCCATCGGGACCTGACTCACAGACTGCCCCTGAACGCATCGCCACGGAGGGAAAACCTCCAATCGGACCTGAAAGGAACGTCACAATGAGAAAAGCTGTACCTGGACCGGAACCTCAGACTGCCCCTGAACACACCTTCATGGAGGGAAAACCTTCACAGGCTGCCCCTGAACACACCATCATGACTGACCACAGCATGCCCCTGAACACATCGTCATGGAGGTAAAACCTCCACCGGGACCTGACTCACAGACTGCCCCTGAACGCACCATCATGGAGGGAAAACCTCCACAGGCTGCCCCTGAACGCACCATCATGGAGGGAAAACCTCCATAGGCTGCCCCTGAACGCACCATCATGGAGGGAAAACCTCCACCGGGACCTGACTCACAGACTGCCCCTGAACGCATCATCATGGAGGGAATACCTCCACAGGCTGCCCCTGAACGCACCGTCATGGAGGGAAAACTTCCACAGGCTGCCCCTGAACGCACCATCATGGAGGGGAAACCTCCACAGGCTGCCCCTGAACGCACCATCATGGAGGGAAAACCTCAACCGGGACCTGACTCACAGACTGCCCCTGAACGCACCATCATGGAGGGAAAACCTCCACAGGCTGCCCCTGAACGCACCATCATGGATGGAAAACCTCCATCGGGACCTGACTCACAGACTGCCCCTGAACGCATCGCCACGGAGGGAAAACCTCCAATCGGACCTGACTCACAGACTGCCCCTGAACGCATCATCATGGAGGGAAAACCTCCACAGGCTGCCCCTGAACGCACCGTCATGGAAGGAAAACTTCCACAGGCTGCCCCTGAACGCACCATCATGGAGGGAAAACCTCCACAGGCTGCCCCTGAACGCACCATCATGGAGGGAAAACCTCAACCGGGACCTGACTCACAGACTGCCCCTGAACGCACCATCATGGAGGGAAAACCTCAACCGGGACCTGACTCACAGACTGCCCCTGAACGCACCATCATGGAGGGAAAACCTCCACAGGCTGCCCCTGAACGCACCATCATGGATGGAAAACCTCCATCGGGACCTGACTCACAGACTGCCCCTGAACGCATCGCCACGGAGGGAAAACCTCCAATCGGACCTGACTCACAGACTGCCCCTGAACGCATCATCATGGAGGGAAAACCTCCACAGGCTGCCCCTGAACGCACCGTCATGGAAGGAAAACTTCCACAGGCTGCCCCTGAACGCACCATCATGGAGGGAAAACCTCCACAGGCTGCCCCTGAACGCACCATCATGGAGGGAAAACCTCAACCGGGACCTGACTCACAGACTGCCCCTGAACGCACCATCATGGAGGGAAAACCTCAACCGGGACCTGACTCACAGACTGCCCCTGAACGCACCATCATGGAGGGAAAACCTCCACAGGCTGCCCCTGAACGCACCATCATGGATGGAAAACCTCCACAGGCTGCCCCTGAACACACCGTCATGGAGGGAAAACCTCCATCGGGACCTGACTCACAGACTGCCCCTGAACGCATCGCCACGGAGGGAAAACCTCCAATCTGACCTGAAAGGAACGTCACAATGAGAAAAGCTGTACCTGGACCGGAACCTCAGACTGCCCCTGAACACACCTTCATGGAGGGAAAACCTTCACAGGCTGCCCCTGAACACACCATCATGACTGACCACAGCATGCCCCTGAACACATCGTCATGGAGGTAAAACCTCCACCGGGACCTGACTCACAGACTGCCCCTGAACGCACCATCATGGAGGGAAAACCTCCACAGGCTGCCCCTGAACGCACCGTCATGGAGGGAAAACCTCCACCGGGACCTGACTCACAGACTGCCCCTGAACGCACCATCATGGAGGGAAAACCTCCACAGGCTGCCCCTGAACGCACCATCATGGAGGGAAAACCTCCACAGCATGCCCCTGAACGCACCATCATGGAGGGATAACCTCCACCGGGACATGACTCACAGACTGCCCCTGAATGCACCATCATGGAGGGAAAACCTCCACAGGCTGCCCCTGAACGCACCATCATGGAGGGAAAACCTCCACAGGCTGCCCCTGAACACACCGTCATGGAGGGAAAACCTCCATCGGGACCTGACTCACAGACTGCCCCTGAACGCATCGCCACGGAGGGAAAACCTCCAATCGGACCTGAAAGGAACGTCACAATGAGAAAAGCTGTACCTGGACCGGAACCTCAGACTGCCCCTGAACGCACCATCATGGAGGGAAAACCTTCACAGGCTGCCCCTAAACACACCATCATGACTGACCACAGCATGCCCCTGAACACACCGTCATGGAGGGAAAACCTCCACCGGGAACTGACTCACAGACTGCCCCTGAACGCACCATCATGGAGGGAAAACCTCCACAGGCTGCCCCTGAACGCACCGTCATGAAGGGAAAACCTTCACAGGCTGCCCCTGAATGCACCGTCATGAAGGGAAAACCTTCACAGGCTGCACCTGAATGCACCTTCATGAAGGGAAAACCTTCACAGGCTGCCCCTGAATGCACCGTCATGAAGGGAAAACCTTCACAGGCTGCACCTGAATGCACCTGAATGAAGGGAAAACCTTCACAGGCTGCCCCTGAATGCACCGTCATGAAGGGAAAACCTTCACAGGCTGCACCTGAATGCACCTGAATGAAGGGAAAACCTTCACAGGCTGCACCTGAATGCACCTGAATGAAGGGAAAACCTTCAATTGCCCCTGAACGGAACGTCACAGTGAGAAAACCTCTACCTGGACCTGAATTGAACACAGACTGCCCCTGAACGCACCATCATGGAGGCAAAACCTTCACAGGCTGCCCCTGAACACATCGTCATGGAGGGTAATCTTCCTCCTTGAGCATTTAAAGCCAAACTAAAGCTCGGCGTACACCTTTCGATCGTTGCACACATCTGCTGCACACTGTATGACTAAACGCAGGGTTTAGTTTTACAGTGTTAGCAGCAGCTCACGATTTATGTTCAGCTCGAGGCTCTAATGCGATCTACCTGCTCAGACTGTACGACTAAAAACATCGTCAAACTGCTCTGTAGCTCTCTATCCTGAAGCCAAACAAATAGAACGGGGATATTAAGCTCAAAATTGTGCAATTTTGTGCGGAGGGTTCAGAAAAAAAGGGCGACAACGTATTTGGAAAAAGGACATGGCTGAGCAGGCGTGGCTGCTGCTGTCCATCAGTTTTGCAGACAGAGCTGCATTTCACTCATTGCCTCCATGCCAGGCTGCTGTGTTTACATCTGAGAGGAGGAAGTCGCCCTGAGCTGGTCGTGAGAGGCTGATCGGCCTTCATACCCCCTGTACACCACACGATTCACGATCAGGCTGAAAGTCGGCCTGATCAAAAGATTCTCGCACGACTGGAAAGTCGCCCCAAAGATCGCACCGTTTAGGCCGGGCTTAACTAAGCTCTAAATACTGTTAATTTAAAGCTGGTGAAGATTTTTCTGCTGATTCTTCAAATAAAACCAGAAAAGATTCATTTATCAGTTTTCCAACAGGAAGGAGTTTATATCACAGAAGTAGAAAGATCAGTACCAGCTTTAAACTGGAGCGGTTCTGGTTCTACATCTGGTACGACTTGAACAGAACCTCTGGTTCAGAACATCCCAGAACTTCTTCCCTGTTTAGGAGCAGCGTTTTGTTTCATGACGATTCACTATGAAAAGTTGCTGAATAACGTAGGACCTAAATGCTGCCTCACTGGTTACCATGGTGACAGCAGGGAGGCGTCCAGGAGGCTGTGAGGACTGGAGGTCAGAACCAAACACACCTTAGTTCTCTCCAGGTCCAGTTCTTCCAGGGTCCCTCTGATTGGACAGAGGGAGCCCCTCCACATGTGGAGGTCAGAATCAGAACCAAGGATTCACCGCTGTTTATTTATCAGTACCCAGATGTTCCCACACCACCATCACCGTGAGGGACGACCGTGGTTCTACAGGACCAGGTGGATCAGAACCTTTAATGGTGGATCAGATTCTGCCAGAAGGTTTCAGAACCTGAGAAGCAGCTGGATCTCCTCCTCCTCCTCTGATCCTCTGTTTGGTCACACCCTCAGTAATCCAGTTAAACCACAGCTCCCCGTTACCACGGAAACCCCAGCTCTGTGCCTTACCCAGCACGGTGGCGCCCTCCGGCTGGAACTCGGGAAACTGTCCCTCTGAGGGCACGCTGACGGTCCGGCGGAGGCTCCGGGCCCTGGTGGGTTCTGTGGGGGCCTCCTGAGGCTCGCCTGCAGCCTGTCGGGGGAGAATGGGGGGGAGGTTAGAGTGGGGTGGAGGTTCGAAACAGCAGAAACGTGTCGGGGCGGGGCGGCGGGCTCGGACCTCCTCGTCCTTGTTGAGCAGGATGAGCTGGCTGTCGGTCAGGATGCAGAACTTCCTCTCCCAGGCGGCGCCGTCCGTGTACGGACTCTGACCGCAGGAGAAGCGGTGGGCCGGGGGTCCCTTCACGTCTGAGGAACCAGAACACAGCAGAACGGGTCAGAACAAAATGAAGGTTAGTAACCAAAATTAAAAAGACTTCTAACATTTAAAACAGTTCTGGTTCAGCTGGTCATAGGACCTCCTGAACTCATTTATTCCCCCCTGGAGTGGACGGAGCAGAAGGTTCTGGAAGCAGCTGCTGGAAAAAGCAGCAGGTCCAAATCCGTCCGTCCTGCTGTAATGGTTCTGATCCCCTGACACAGAACCTCAGCCCGACAATCCTTTGATGCAACATGTGGAGAACGAGTCAGAACCGAGCGGTTCGTCCAGATGATGCAGAGCTGCTGAGTGTCCAGCAGGCGGCGCTGTGGCTCTGCAGGAGGGACAGGCAGCGAGGAGGGGTCAAAGGTCACAGAAACACAGGTCCTGCTACGGTCCTCAGCAGGACCCTGAGGGGAAACACACGATGCTTTTACTGCCCCCAAAATAGTGTGGGATTATTGAGCATCTGGGTAAACATAACATGACCCACAATCAGCTGCTGCAGCTCAGTTCTGACGGAACAGCACACAGGTATACATGACTGGAGCCCAGGTTCTGACAGACTGAGGACTAACGGGTTCTGAGTCCAGCAGGACGTCAGGGAGCGGACAGCTGCAGTTCTGGCCCGGCCCGCCAGCAGCTGGGAGCTTCTCCTCTTTCAGGTTATTTCTGGCTCAGCAATAATTCATCCTGAACCCTGGAGACTCGCTGAGAGTCACACCTGCTGCAGAGCACGCAGGCTGCAGTCGGCACCAGAACCACTGCCCCGGTTCTGTCTACTGGACTCTGGTTCTGATAACTGGCCAAGTTCCGCTGCTGCAGACAGGACAGACAGGCAGAATCAAACTGGCCCGGTATCTGCCTACCCGGTCCAAATGTTTCTAGATGCCCATTAACACCTGCAGGACTGGAGCTGAAGGAGGGAACCGGACCGGGCCGAGCCTCTCTGGGGAATGTGTGAGGGAGGAGTGAGACGTCCAGTGGTCCTCACCCACTCTGGCCCTGCCCACTCCACGGCATGTCTGCCGTCCCTCTGAAGCTGCCCGTGTGTTTGTGTTTACATGAAACCGGATCACGCCCCACTGGGATCTGGTTCTGGGTCACCTCCTCCTGATCCAGACTGTCGCTAAGGACGGGACCCGACTCGCCTGCAGGTCAAACTGAGGGAATAAAAACCCTCCAGCTGTCCTGCAGGTTTCAGGTTTCCCTCTGATTTAAATCTGCTGCGGTGAACCAGAACCTGGTACCGGTGATGCTCCAGGCTGCTGGGTGACCGGTACCAGATTCTGGTTCCGTATCGACCCGCTCCCACTCCAGCAGTGGACAGGGGAACGTCTGGAGCCTTCGAAGGGTTACCAGCTCCTTCAGGACAGGACAACAGAGGTGGCTTTGTCTGCAGGGCTGCACACATCGCCATGGCAACATGTAAACAAAGCAGCTCGCGGCCAATCGGAGCACGGCAACATCACATCACCGCTTTATCAAGATGGGACCATTGCACTGGGGAAGGGGGGGGGGGGGCTTGTTACCAGACTTTTATGGCTCTAAACACTGTTATCTGTTTTTTCCTAGGGGATCCTGAAAGCAGCACGGCCCTCTGCAGACGCAGTTAGTTCAGAACGGAGCGGCCAGAGTCCGTTTCCTGGTTCCTGCTGTCTGCTGTGTGGTCAGAACGTCTCCACTGAACTCCTGGAAGGAAAACCCAACGGTTGACTGGTTCTGGACGGCTGGTTCTGTCCGAACACAGTCTGCTCTGACTTGTTACTTCACTGAAAACACATCCAGAGCTTCATGTTGTGGAATAAAAGCTGGACCTGACTCCTCCCTCTATTCAGTGAGGCATTTCATGTTATTAATCTTTAGATAAATGCATTAATTTAAAAAGACTTTGATGATTTCATTAATTTCAAACATGTTTGATTACTTAATGGGGCACTTAGTTTTGTTTTGTTTTTTGGTACATTTTATAGTTTCATTGTATCAAGTCTGAATCATGTTTTAGATAAATAAATAAAAATGTTTTTTATGAGACATTCACATTCAATCCCCGAGGGATGGCATCACAATGACTGTTAAAAATCCTCTCTTGACCCCTGAACCGACTGGGGGGGTGTGGGGGAGGATCTGTGGGAACATCTATGGAGTTAAGTTTTTACACTTTTGTTAAAAAAGCTGACAAAATTGAATTAGAAAATCTTGAAATCCAGAAAAAAACTTTGAAAAACATTTGAATCATGAATAAGAAAATTTCTATTTTTTTCCTACATTATTTATTTCATTTGTTTATGGAGCCATGGAGATAGGAGAGTTCTGACAACTCCATTGGTTGCAATGGGCAACATTTCAAAGAGCATTGGCAACGGAAGATTGGCAATCTGCACTGCACTATAAAGATGCTGACAGTAGATTTTAAAGGAAAAATCCGCTCATATTTAGAATTCAAACTTCTAAAAGTATTTTAAATATTAAATGATTCCATCTTGTTCAATAAATAAGTGTTTTTAATTGAGAGTAATTTTCATGTGAATGTGCTTTACTGGAGGCATCCATGTTTGTCAAAGAACACTACTGCCACCTACTGGTTAGTGACGTCACGGTGCGGTATCGGCTGTTGATCAAGTCCCAGTGCTGTATCTGGTGTTTGTCACAACGCGCTATTATCCAAGTCATCTTGAAAACATTCTTCTTCCAAATGTAGATTTAGCTTGTAAAGCGGGAAGAATGGCGCTAGGCTTACCGCACCGTGACGTCACTGCAGAAGATGGCAGGAGGGAGGGGTTACTATATTTGGGGAAAAATGGCCGCTACCTGACTCAGTAAACGTGACAAAAATGATTTTTATTTTTTCACTGATTAAAGCTAAATTCATTAAATCACCACAAACGTCTTAGTTTTAGCTACAAATAATGATCCATTGATTGTTCCTTAATGGTTGAACTTTTCCTTTAAAGATGTGATCATTGTTTGTTGGGTGGATGCAGACATCTCTAAGCTAACAGCTAATAAAAGTGTGTTTATGGATTGGCACCCACAGCATGGTGTGTATCCTGGTAGCATGTTTGGACGGGCCCAAAGGCTCGGTTCTGGTCCTGCTTGGTTTTTGAAATAAACAAACGCATTTTGAACAGCTTGAGTCGGGAGCTGAAGCTCCCAGATTCCCAGGGAGAGGTTAGGAAAGGGGGGAAAAAGCTGAAAACGTGAACACTAGTGAAGTCAAGCCAAATGGCTAGCTTAGCCTGTGCAGCACAGCTAGCATCAAACATATTAGTTTAATGCTAGAATGTCAGGAATTCACATTCTGTGAACCATTTATAAAATCCCCAATAAATGACTGAGTGAGTTTATTTAATCAGATCCGTTTTAGCAAACCTGTGAACGTCTCACATAGATTAGATTTTAACTCCATTCCGGTCAAACATCCCAGGAACCTATCCTGTTGGTTCTTCTGACGCTGCGTCTGCAGCAGCCTGGACCCAGTGCACACCAATGGCCTCTATGTGTCCCACTGTGGTCACCTGATGTTCATCCAGGGATCCATATCAATGAACAGAACTAGGGTCAAATGATTATGCCAAAAATATAAATTGCATTATTTTCAACCTATATTGTGATTTTCTTTTTCTCTAAGAAAAATCTGTTCCTGTTTTTTCACAGTCTTGAAAGCCTGTTTGTGTTGCAGGACTTTACTGTTAGATTTGTATGAAAAAGTTCTTCCTTCTACTAATGCATAGATCTAGGTTCTACCCACAACTCTCTGTTCCCCTCTGTGTGACGGCATACCCACTTTAATCATATTGATGCCAACTAAAGGACTAGAGGGAGAAATTTGGTGTTTTATGCTACGTTCAGACCGCAAGCAGCCGAAGCAGCCAGTTTACATGCAAAGTCAATGGTTGACTTCAATGAGTCAATAATCTGAGCATCTGAGGCGCTTCAGATGCAGCAGATGCTGGAGTTGGAAAAATGTAACTCTGCTGATGCAGAGTGCTATGATCACTCCCCTGAAACAGTTTATTAAAGCCTAAATTAACTTACAATGTAGAAACCTGCCAGCAGAATATGTTTGCTTTTATTATCCTGGTGCCTGCAGTTTGGATTATTTACAGAATTAAAGTTGTACAGCATCAACAATGAAGCAGCGTTTCTGCAGCTCCTGCTGCGTGCGCTCTGAACGTAGCATTGCTCTTGATAAATGCATTGTGACTAAAAATTGAGATCCTCTGTGATTTAAATAAAAATAATTTAAAACAGAGGCAGCCTGTGATAAACCAGCATCATGAGGCGGAACCACTTCAAACGTTTCCAGCTGCAGGTTTTACACCCAACGCTCTGAACCCACTCAGAGTCACTGAGAATCAGAACTTCTGAGTTCTGATTTAATGTCCCAACAGAGAAACACAGCGACCCGCCGACCAGAACCAACGCAGCTCTGCTGCTGTGGTCGTTCTAATGACGCTTCTAGATTTAGAAGGTTGTTTATGCAGAATGACACTGAGAGGAATATTATCTTCTATGGATAATCTTAAAGATCTTTAAAAATCCTGCATTTTCTCTAAACCCAAATGTTACATTGTAAAAAAATGCATTCTTATCTGATAGGTTTAAAAATAGTCATTAATTTTGAATGAAAACATGGTTTAATTTTGAAGATATAGATAGATATTATTCAGCTGGACTGAAGGAACAAACGGCTCTTAGGTGGTAAAGGGGAGGTGACCTTTGACCTGAACCACATCACAACAAGCAGGAAGGAAAGCGCTAACATGAGATGCATGGACAGCTGTTGCCATGGTAACATATGTAGGCTTACTTTCTGATGTATGTTTGTTCCTGAGGATCGCTGACCGAGAGTAAAAAGGGTCAGAATAAGAAACAGCAGAAACAAAAGGTAAAAGAGAAAAGTTCTGCAGGTAAACGCAGCTGGTTCTGAATGAGCCCAGGTCCAGATCACAGGGTTCTGACTCCTCATCGGATCAGGATTCCTGCCACAGATCCTAATCAGAAGCAGCATTTACTGAGAACTTGGAGATCCAACAGGAAATGATCCGATTAAACAAACGGAGCTGTTGGTTCACATTCTGCTGCTTCAACAGAACAAAACGAAGAAATGCAAACATCCAGAACCTCTAAACATTCCTGGTACGGAGAACCCGTCAGAACCTGCTTCCATCAGTGGAAGCAGTCAGTGTTCATCAGCCATTTTCCCACAGAGGCTGTTTAATATTTTAATATTTAAAGCTGCTGACTGCAGCCAGTTTGCAGATTCTGACCCGCAGCTGTCACTCACTGCTGGGGGGGGGCTCAGAGGTCAGGGGTCAGCGGTGGCGTCGCCTTGGATCAGGATGAGGGGAGCAGCGGAGCAGAGAGGACACCACAGAGCAGCAGCAGAACCCATGTGTTCATAGGGTGGAGCAGAGGAGAACATTGCTGATGGTTCTGATCGGGTCTGAGGTCCGACATCATCTCTGGTTCTGAAAACCTGGACTTCAAGAATCCAAAGTGATGCAGACTGGGAGGAAGAGGAGGGAACACCATCATCCTGGTGAGAGTGGGGACAGAGACGGAGAGCTCTGATTGGCTAACTGAACAAAGCCGGCTCTCATTACCGGGTCAGACTGCAGGAATCCCAACCATCCCACCAGAACCTGAAAGGCTCCCTTTGTTCCAGCTCAGGCTTTTATTGTGAAAGGCAGATTTGCATACAAAAGGAGGAGACCCTCCCTCCTCACATTCCCACACTTCATCCCAGCCCTCCTGTCCACTGGTCCCAGTTCTGGTTGGAGCCACCAGCTCAGAGCCAGCAGAACCGGACAGAAACACGCTCCAGGGTCAGAACCTAACGGCCCCACGGGGCCTGGAGGTGTCGCTTTGCTCATGAAACCAGCAGCAGGGCGCTGACTCAGGCCTCTGTTAGGGAGCAGAAGTGAGAGGTCTGTGGTTTAATTACCCAGCATGCACTGCTGCAGCCTAGAGAAAACGCTCTCTGTTCTCATGTTTGCTATAAACTGACCCTGTGCAGAACCAGGACTCAGGTAAACCAGCTCCAACCAGACTCTGGATCAGCCTGCAGTGGCAGAACGGAACCCAACAGAACCAGAACGGCTTCTCAACACATTACTGGTGTGATGGGAAAATCCTAAAGGTCCATAGAGGAGCAGACTGATCCTCTTAATTCATTTAGGGTTGATTTTCACAGAGACTAACCCTCCTCTTCCTCATCTTTATCGTGAACAGAATCAGTAAAAAACGATGGTTCTGATTTCAGATCACAGCAGATTTGACAGTTTAAACAAGATTTTCATTTCACTTATTTCTTCAGATTGGAATCAACACCAAGGTTCTGGAAAGGCCCAGTCCGGGTCCAGGTCAGACTGACAGAGAATCCCCAGATTAGGGTGATGGCATGGAGGATTTCCAACCAGGAAGACTTGGACTGTTGAGCAAACCACCAGAGGAAGCAGAGGGGGTGGATTTATTTTCATCTTGAAATGATGTGAAGCCATCTATCTATCTATCTATCTATCTATCTATCTATCTATCTATCTATCTATATATATATATATATATATATATATATATATATATATATATATATATATATATATATATATATATATATATTCTACTTAAACCAAAAACCTTTCACAAATTTCTCTGCAGGAAAAACAACAAGTTTGAAGTGAAATGTAGCAGGGCTAATAATAACCTAGCTTTAACTGTAGCAGGTGTTTGCACTGAGAGCAAAGCAGAAACTCTGAGCTCAGTCACTATTTTAGCATCATCAAGCTAACCAGAGCAGAAATGGCTCCCAGCCTGAG